CTCCAAGCCTGAGAAGCCCCAGGACACCTGGTTGCTCGGGGGAAGCATCTTGGAGCCTGCCTGGGTTTCCAGCAACTGTGGCTGCATTGCAGGGTCACAGACAGGAACACTTCGGCTCTGTTCCTGCTCATGTCAGTGCCCAGCCTTTCCTGAGGGTCCAGTCCCAGTCTGGGTGAGGATGAGAAGTGGCAATTTTTAGATCCTAGTTAGTCTTAGATACTCCTGCTTCATTCTAGAAAGTTAAATTCTTTTTTGTTTTTCCAAAAGATGTTTATTGGTGGTTAAAACACTGAATTTTGTATACAAAACTTATAAGTCCCTCATTTAGTCTTTTATATTTTATAACATTGCAAGACATTTCTGTGCCAATCAACAATACTTTTATATTTTTAATATTTTATTTGAGCAGTGTAATTATATATAATTATGTGATTTACATTGGCATATCCAAAATTCAAAATGCCTACACAAATTTTTTAGGACAGTCATTTCTTCCTGCCTGTGTTTTCTCTATGAAATTTCTCCAACTTTATCTCTACGAAATTTTTCCAACTATTTACTTTCCCAGTGAATTAGTTTCTGTCTCCTGTGTCTCACTGAATCCTCTGGACTTGCTGTGGTGGCCTCATTCAGCTCCTTCCTGGCCCAGGTGAATCCTGGAATCACTTTCCCTAAACAAGACACCCCACATTGCACACAGTCTGTATTTGATTAATTAAATCTGCTTAGATTTGGAAAGTGGGCAATAAGGATTGAATTCAGGGCATCTTGCCCACATCACCCACTGTTCTGTACTTTATTTAGAAATAGGGATTTAATGAGTTTTTAGTGTCTTACTGTTGCCAAGTCAGGCTTTTAATTGTGATCCTTCTGCCTCAGCCTCCCGAGCCACTGGGAGTACAGGTGTGCAGCACTGCACCTGGCTTATGCCTGGTTTTATAAGTATAAAATTAGGACTTAGATTCATAAACTAGATTTAGAGACTTGGCATTTTAATACATTTTGAAGATTGTGAGTGAGAAAAGAGGTGTTCTATGCTGTAGACTATCTCATGTGAGGATGTTGGATCCTCAACATCACTAAGAATGTCAGCATCTCTCTCCATCAGACAACAGCTGGCCATTCCAGCTATATTTTCACACTTACACTGAAACCTAGCTCTAGTGAGGCAGAGGACAGCACCCTGACACAGGGATGCCAGGCGCCATGATGGGTCCCAGGCTGTGCACACCCATCTGTCCATCACCTATCCCTCCTTGGTGTGGGGAGCCCACCAGCTGCTCTGCCCCAGTCACTGTGAAGCACAGCCTGGCTGTGGGCCACAGGTGCCCTGTGAGCTGCAGAGCCCCAGGACAAGGCCCTCTCTGCACGTGGCCCTCACCACCCACCCTCACCCTCACCCTCCCTGCACCTTCCCATCTCCAGGGCCCACTGTCCTCTCTCTTTCCAGGACCTGATGCAGTAGCTTCCCCACATGAGTGATGGTGTGGTGATGGTCTCCCTCTGCCTGACCCATTTCAGCTAGGTCCATGTGCTCCAGTGCCATGCCCAGGGCCAGCAGCGACAGAAATTCCATTCTTGTTGGCTAAATTTATTCTTCTCCTGTGGACAGCACATTTTTCACATCTCCTTTAAAGGACAATGTAGTGGTCATGAAAAGGTCCTCAACACTCATAGAACTTTAGTTAAAAATGGGCCTCATGAGCTCCACATAATATCTGATGTGGACACTGAACATAGGTCCTGTCCCAAGCCTCAGACTGTCCAATACCATGTCTCTGCTGACCTTAGGCCACACTGCACATGGTGGGATCCCTGACTGCTGCTCTCCACACTGGCCTTGCAGCTGGCAGACCACCACTGCTGGGCCTTATAGGTCATGCTCCCAGGCTCCACTAGCATGGCATATGGGGACTGTAGGGGGTACATCTACAAAGCTCTGCCTGAGCTAAGGCCTACCCAGGGCATCCCCTGGAAGGCAGGTGGAGATGAACCACCTCCACACTATGGCACCCTGGGTGCTGCCAGGTTGGCTCCTTGGTGACTATTCCAGCTCCCAGATCAGAGTTGTCACAGACCAACCCTTTACCCAGTTCCCAGGGCTGTGTCCACACCTTTAGATGGTCACTATGACCACCTCAGGCCACACCCAGGTGCTGCTCCAGACCAGGGCTCCTGAGGCTGCAGCACCACATGGCAGGAGGCTGGAGGCCAAGAGAGGCAGACGGGGCTGGACCCCTAAGTGGTGCTGGGGTCTCACTGGGGCTCAGGGTGACAGGAAGTCTCTACCAGCCCTGGGGGAATCCAGGTGGCCAGGAACAGGGTGTCAGTTGTCCTCTACATTCTCAACCATGTGGACATGTGAAGAGTGACAGGGCAGCAGTGCTGAGGTCATGTGGCTCTGCCTCAAGGAGGATTCCAAGACACTTGATCCACAGAGAGTCCCTGCTTTCCCTGGGTCTTTGGGCACAGCAGGAGGATGGGAGGTCTGGATCACAGAAGACAAATTAGACAGAGAAAGCACATGGGGACACTGGCTGGTCCTTCTCCAAGTACCCTCAAAAGAGGGGGATACACAGGAAACACTGTGGACTCAGCTCATTCCAAGTGAAAGTGAGGACAGAGCCTGGGTTTCTCTCTGCCCACACTAGGGACCTGTGCCCACCACAGATGGCAGCAGCATGTGGACCTGAGGGCTCTGGGTCAACTGGATGCTCCTGAGCTGAAGAAGGCCCTCACAGGGAGGCACAGCCTTCCCACTGCAGGGAGTCTCTGAGGCCCTCAGCTGGACGCCTCTCTGGAGAGCAGGTGGCAGCAGAGGGGAGAAGACACACAGCACATTTCCAATGCAGGACGGTTCTGAGGACCTCACTAGTGTGTTCATCTGGGAGCTGGAGGAGTGTCAGGACAGCAGTCGTGTCCAGGGTGAAAGCAAAAGACCATGTAACAAGTCACTCTTGCCACACATGAGCTGTAGGACACATGCTTCTGTGTAATTTTACATCTGCACCAGAGAGTTAGTACAGCCACCTCCACCATATGATTATGTGTTTATATTAAATAAACTAAGATAGTGGACTCTAAAATCAAATTAGAAGAAATTCTTCCCTCCTGAACGCTCTTCTGCCCACCATGCTGCCCATGACACTACCATCTTCTCTCAGAGCTACTCTACTGGGCCTCCATCCAGAGCTGATATACAGCAGGAGGACATGCAAATAGGGCCTCCCTCTGCTCATGAAAACCAGCCCATCTTACCTTGCAGCTCTGCACAGGAGCCCAGCCCTGGACTCCCAGCTCAGCCCACTCAGGGATCAGGACTGAACACAGCTGCTCACCATGGAGAGTGTTTTCCTGGTGGCTGTTTTCAAAGGTAATTGATGGAGAACAGAGATCCTGAGTGTGTGAGTGGACAGGAGTGAGAGGAAGAGTGGATGAGTGACAGTGTCCTGACCAGGCTGCCTCTGTGTTTGCAGGTGTCCAGTGTGAGGTGCAGCTGGTACAGAGTCTGGGGGAGGCCTGGTGCAACCTGGGGGTTCCCTGCAACTCTCCTGTGCAGCCTCTGGATTCACCTTCAGTGATTACTACATGGAATGGGTCCACCAGGCTCCAGGGAAGGGGCTGGAGTGGGTTGGTCATATAAGAAACAAAGCTAATAGTTACAGCACAGCATACGCTGCATCTGTAAAAGACCGATTCACCATCTCCAGAGAGGACGCCAAGAACACCCTGTACCTGCAAATGAGCAGTCTGAGAACCGAGGACACCGCCACCTATTACTGTACCAGAGACACAGTGAGGGGACCTCAGTGTGAGCCCAGACACAAACCTCCCTGCAGGGTACCCAAGGCCAGCAGGGGGCGCTCAGCACACAGGAGCTCAGGGTCACCCAGGAGCAGGTGCAGAGGGGGTGGGGGAAGATTTCCTCCATCTGGGGACCTCTCTTCTCCATGATCCAGCTTTCTAGGAGAGCTCTCTAGACATATTTTTCTTACTAATCTCTTATGTCTCTGAAGAGAACAATTTGGGTTTTTAATTTACACTTTCTTTTTTCATTGTTGCACCATAATTATAAATAATATTGCATTTCAATTGGACACAAATACACAATTATGGGATACAATCTCTCCACTTCTGTCCCCTGCCGTCTCCCTTTCCCTCCCTCCTCTCTACACCTCCCTCCTGACCCTTTTTCCCTTTCTTTTCTCTACAGATATTTTTTATAATTTGGTTTCATTAGTGCCTCTTAGAGCACATAAAGGGGACATCCACTGTGCAATCCTCACACAGGACACAGGAATGCTTCGCCAGTGTCATTTCACTGCTTGTCCCATTTCTGTCCCCATACCTTACCCTTGATCCCCTTCCTCTCCTCCTGCTCCCTCTTCTGTTTCCAGGGGACTCCTCCCAGGACTTTCCCCTTTTGTGATCTGAAATTTGCATTTGACATTAAACCCTTGAGATTTCTCCCTCTGATTCTGGCTGAAGAAACTTGATATTCTCCAGTTCCATCCATTGACCAGGAAATGCCATATTTTCCCTCTTCCCTGTGGCTGAGTGAAACACTGTTCTGTGTATACGCCACCTTCCCTTTATCCACTTATCTTTTGATGGACTTCTGGGAAAGTTATGTAATATGGCTATTTTCAGGCCCACTAGAGTAAACACTGATGTGGCTAGATAGATGGGCTGTGCTGATTTGGAGTCTTTTGGGTACATACCAAGGAGTGGTAGCTGGGTCACATGGTGGCTCCATTCCTGGTCTTCCTGAAATGTCCATTCTGCTTTCTAGAATGGCAGCACTAATTTGAAGTCCCAGCAATAACACATCTGTACACCTCTTTCCCACAATTTTTATTATTTGGTTCTTTGTTTTGATTTTTAAAATAATTTTTATTTTTTTAAAAGAAATTTGCCAATGCCAATGTAGATTCAAACAGCAATTCTTTATTCCCGAACTCACACCGGCCTCTATGAACACGTTCTGGGGCAATCCCAAAATCTCCAGCACAATTCACGTCCTAAATACTTTCTCTCCATGAGAACTCAGCAGGAACTCAGGCAGCAGGCACGCCCTACTCTCAGCAGCAATAATCTTCAACCTCCAACTTCCCTAAAACTCCTATTGTCTTAAACCGGGAACGCCCTGAACCCAAAGACCTGGATACTTCCTCAAACCTTCAGGATACACCCTAATCCTGGATCCACCCTGGTCATTGAGCAGGGTCACCTTTCTCAAACACACATGCAAGGTCACAGCAAATTTCCAAGGCAAATCCATTTAACATGGGGTATGCTGGCAAGGATTTTGATGCATCATTCCTTCTTGGCAATGGCCCTCAGCATCTCCCCCCTTCTGATTAATTAAACAACAAGCAATGTGGCTTAGGACCGTGCCTGGTAGGTTGTCCAATTCAACATATGGTTGGTACCCGTCATGGGAGAACTGACCTTTAGGCGTCAGTTTCCTGTCTTAGGTTGAATCCACTGCAACCAGATCAACCCGTCACTGACTACTGGTCCAGCATTTAGCCATGGTTGTGGATAGGCCTATGCACCAGTGGGGGGGTGAGGTTCTTGCCTCACCTCTGTTAGCCCCCAAATTTAGCCTTGGTGCAGGTGTGGGGGGTGAGGTTCTTTGCCTCACCTCTGTTGGCCCCCAAATTTTAGACCATCACTAGTAGAAGAGAGGAGGATACAGAAATGCCATGACACCAAGCCAATTGATGGCTCCTTTGGAAAAATTGCATCACTTGTGACACCATCAGCAAAGACATGCCAGCACTACTCAATTCCCTGCACCAGACGGTAGTTCACAATGCATACAACTGATATATAGTCCAGGCAAGTTCTGCAGGCAGTTCAAAGTGGAAGAGTCTATCAATATGTCCATTTCCTCCCAAAGTAAATCGAGTCCTTGATTGAGCATTAGTTGTTGAGTTATATTCATTGATGCATCAGTTTATACAGTTTACTGTGATAGCTATTATAGAAGCTGTAGTTTGGTTTTATCTTAGTCTTCACTGGCACTGGGATGGAGATGGGAATTCTGGCAATGATGCTAAAGAGACATTATCCTGAACAGAATTATTAAATAAAATGAGAAGGAAAGGTGAATGTAAACAAACAGATCTGTTAACCTCCTTTAAAAACAATCCTTAACAGTTGTTTACCTAATTTAAATTAGTAAACAAACAGATCTGTTAACCACATTTAAAAACAATACTTAACAGCTGTTTACCTAATATAAATTAAACCATTTAAATCACGTGAATAAAAAAAATTTGGATGCATTTTTTCATGAGTGCTCCTCATATAAGAAATATGGACATACACACATACAGATATACAACACAAAACAGAAGTGTGCACACATAACATACAACACATAAGACAATAGTAAGTAAAGGCCTTGTAGCTACACCTAGGTGAAATCTCCAATGCAATGTTTAAAAACTACAAAGTCAAAAAATAAAACTGCTCAGAAAAACATTAACCTAGGTTTGTATGAGCTCAAAAAATAAAACAGAAGTTTATGATGTGGGAAAAATGCAATAATAAAATAGATATTGAAAAAATCACCCTGGTTAATCACTGTCGCAGATGTAAGAATAGCCAAGCTGGAGCTCTGGATATCAGCTGTTATGGATTTGAATCAAATTATCTTCTTTTTGGTCCGTAGAAATTGCTTTAGTTAGTGTCTCTGGAATCCAAATTGACTGCTGTTCTCCCTGTGGAAACACACAAACAGAACCCTGACTCCAGACAATCACTGACTTGCAGCAACTGTAGGCAGGTGGGGGTGGCTGGAATACTTGGATCACTGGGGTGTGCGTTTGGGGGACACTCTGTGAAGCTCGCCTGCTTCCTGGTGGCCATGACCTGAGCAGCTTTCCTCCTGCATGCCCTTCTGCCATGGTGTTCTCCCTCCCCGGCCAGAGCTAAGCACTTGCCACCATGCACTCCAACCTATTAAGTCATGACCCAAAGGAAGCTTGTCCTTCTCTGTGTTCTCAGAATTTTGGTCAGGTGCCAAAACACTGCCAAATATTGATATACTTTTAGGTTTACTTATGGCCAAAACATACATCCAATAACTTTTTCTAACTTTCACCAAAACATTTTGCTGAATGGTGAAATAAAACTGAAGCCCTGGCACAGGTGAGGTGTTGAAGACCTCAAACCTGGCACAGGTGAGGTGGGATGAATATCATTTGGTTCCGGGATCCCCAGGTCAGGATGTGGAATCATCTGAAAATATCTCTCCTTTGGTCCACCTGGAAGAAGAGCTTTCTAAATTAAATGATTTACCAGAATTTTGAAACTTCACCTAATGTCACACATGGATTCGCAGATGGTGAAAACATGGAGACAGGAGGTCTTACCTGAGCCACCCCAGGATCATGAGCTGCTGCTGCAGGCTCAGTGTTTGCAGGGAGTTCATGGTCAACACCACAGGGAACAAGGAGAGGAG